TAAATAGTGATGGTGCCAAACTGTCTCCCTGTTTTAATCCTTGATTTGTCTTAAAGCCTTCTGTTTATTGGTTCTGGATTTTAACTTCATTGATTGTTTCTGTCATGGTTAAGTTAATTATTCTACTTAGTTTTGTTGGAATACCAAAAGTGGACATAATCATCCTTAATTTCTTCCATATTATTGTATCATATGCTTGTTTAAAATCTATGAAGCATAGGTAAATATCCATATTAAATGCCCAGCATTTCTCCGTTATCTGTCTCAGGGTGAAGATGTAAGGATTAGGTAAATCGAAAAAATCCATTGACCTAGTCGAATGAAATCTGTGACCTTGCATCTTGTAGCATAGTACCTCAAATAACTATGCTACTATGTGCCCCCTTACCATATAGTGCAATGTTCACCTTTAGTCTGCATCAAGAAATAATTATCGTCTTTTCTTTGTCACTAAGCTATGAAAATGTATCTTTTGTAATAAAATAGCATTATTTTAGGAAAACTGTAGGAAAATAACACAGTGGAAGGGTTAAAACTGTGAAGAGAGTAACTGGCAACACTGTTCTCTGTGCAGTTCAGACAGATTCCAACTCTTGTAGATCAACTGCTGCTACCTTATTTGAGTATATAAATAGTTCTGTCTCAGATTCCTTCTATATGTATAATATAAATCCGTCGTAAATGTAACACTTTATTGTAGTTCTTGTCCTTCTCCTTTTACACTACATGTTTTGGCCGCAACCGGCCATCATCAGGTGTATTTCACTTCACACTGCACTTAATATTAACATTTAAACTCCAGATTTACAGTTGTTCACTGCTCTGTCGTCAGTCGGCACCCAATATTCCAGAACTCCCTTTGTTGATTTTGTTAATTATGTTTTAAAATCTTTATTAATATTCACACATCAGTTGGTTTAAAATTTTAAATTCTCAATTTAGCTTTAATATTTAAAATTTAAATTTAGATTTAAAATCAAAATCACAGAGCTACCTGCACTATGCTTATATATGCTGCAGCGGCTACCTCTTGCTTTCAGCACAACTCGTGTGTTATCTGTAATACACAAATATTCGTGTTACTGGCTTATGTTCTTACATTATTCATATATATTTGATACTGTTATGTGTACTTACTTTGTGCAGGTTCTTTGTGTGCGTGCCACTGCTTTTCTCTAATATGTTTGCTGTCTGGTGTGTTGTGTGCTGTGTTTTTATGTTGTTGAGTGTGGAAGGGGAATGGGTAGTGTAAAAGAAAGGGGACAAGAACTACAATAAAGTGTTACATTTACGATGGATATATATTATACATATAGAAGTGTGGAATGTAACAGGATGCTTAAATATAATATAGTACTCAGATTCCTTCTTTTGAATATGTTGTTTTGTGGATGTGAATTAATTCCTCATTTTTAACCACACTTTTTCAGCTGCATAAATCATATAGTGTCAGATGATAGGATGATATGTGAATTGGAAAGATTGTGGAGGCAAATGATCATGGCCCATTTTAAGGCATTGTGCCTACACTTGCCTGAAGTTACTCAGAAACCCATAAAAAGAACCTGTCATAGAAAATTACCTGCAGGCCAGAATTTAAACTGACAACCTCTACATAATTCATGGCTGTTAATGCACAGTCATTTCCACTTTAGCATATGTAAAAGTTTATGTTCCTGTGCCATGACTTTGTACCACACCATGGGGAGGGCATGTAGCAGAACAGATGTAAAGCTCCATCCATACTGGCCCTTGGGATTAGATGGAATGACCAGCCTCACGATTTAATTTGATTGGTGTATTTGTGTTATTGCAGTGAAAACACACATTGGATTCCAGCTTCTGCCCCAGTGTTCCATCATCCAACTGATTTGGAACTTATATCTGAGCAAAATACTTCTCAGACCACAACAAGACTGGCTTTTCAAATAAGAGGCAAGTACTCTCATTAGCATCACCAGTCCTAGACATCAGGTATAATTCACTTTCTTCAGCCTAAATGCTCTTATGTACTATAGTCATTCAACTTTAAGTCTACCTTGGATATCAGTTGACCAATATTTACAGTAGAAAATTTTAAGAAGAATTACTGCATCATTTATCCAGATAAAATTCTCTATATGACATGTATTGGGGCTGCCACCAAGATCTAATGGCTACAGTGCTTTCCTTACTTCTTTGTAGATTTTAGTTTCTGATTTGTGTGTCAGAGAAATTTTGAGAGCATAAATTAACATAATTCCAGTGACACTGCTTTCCAGGAAAAATAATTTCCAAATGATCAGGTATATCAACTGGCTAAGGTGGAGCAATTTCTTGGCTTTCTCATCCAATTGACATCACACACTGGACATGTTTTTATGAAGATTTCTTAAAGAATTGTATTGTTACTATCATCACCAAAAGTTATACAAACTAAATCTCAATATTACTGAAATCATCGCAGATGCTGCAACTGTTACATCACATGAAGGAAGAGAGTAAACATTACCAGGATGTCTGCCACATTTCAGCTGGTGTATGTGGCTGTTTTATAGCACTGTGAGGTTGATTATATACAGTGATCCAGTTAAAGCCATATCTAAATAGGAGGCACTGTATTTAATATCCCATTAAACTTAGAACATAAATTAGTATTCACAAAATACAGGGTGTTTAAAAATACATGGCATAACTTCAGGACTGAGTGCCTCATATGTAGATAATAAAAAGAGTTTGTATCAACATAGGTCCGGAAATGCACAGTTTCTGAGTTTATAAGGTCTGTCTGTGACACTAAGCTCTTCACATTACCTTACAGTAAATGTTCTAAATGTCCGTCTCCTGCCTCAGGAGGTGGACATGTGAGCTCAGCTTGACATCTCATTGCCACCTGAAGATGATCACAAATTCCTGGCATGTTGCATATTGTCTGAAAACCTGCCACAATTTGATATTGGAGAGTTTCCACATCATCCACTGGAGACAAATACACCAACGATTTGAAATGGCCCCACAAGTAGAAATCCAGTGGATTTAAATCGGGTGAGCATGGAGGCAGGGCAATTGGTCCACCTCTACCCATCCACTGACCAGTAAACTTTTGATTCAGGTACCTGCGGCCAACGAGTCCGAAATACGTGGGAACGTCATCATGCATGAAGTGCAGTTCTTGCTGAATGATAAGTGACACATCAGCCAAGTAATCAGGCATGTTGTTTTCCAAGAAAGCTTTGTAATTCTGCCCTGTAAGCCCGTTTGGAAGTATGTGGGGTCTGAATAACTTATCACCACAAATACTGGCCCAGATGTTGATGGAGAACTGCTTTTGTGATGTGATGTAAAAGTCACATGTGGATTTTCATTTGCCCACATATGCTGATTATGAAAATTCTTAATTCCATCTCTTGTGAACTGTGCATCATCCATAAATATCACAAAGGCAGGGAAGTTAGAGTTTGTACCACCAAAGAACCACTGGCACATTACTCGCACAGGGTAATCTTGTAGTGACAGGGCCTGTATATGCTGCAGGTCACAGGGATACAACTGTTGTACTCGCAACACTCTCCAGACTGTCGAGAATGAGCGACGCCCACTTGCATTGATACCCTTCATATGCTGATTCCTGGAGTTTCATACACATCCTTCTCTACTTCAGGAGTCATAGATCTTGGTTGTCCCTTGTTGGCAACATGAGGTGCAAAATTCCCATATTCACAAAGGTGGTGATGGATACTTACAAATGTTTTCCTATCTGCGTATCTTCATCCTGGATACCTTTCTTGGTACAAGTGATGAGCCACCACAGCGTTACCGTCCACCAAACCACACATGAAATGCATATCGGCTAGCTCTTGATTTGAGTACATCGTCTCAACATCTTGCAATCACTACTCACTTTCACACACAATTGCAATACACTTCTCCTATTAAGATTTGGAAACTTTCCAAGATTGTGTTGGATTGATACCACGACTGTCTTAACATAGTGAATGATGGAAACCATCTATGGGAGTTACCTTAACTAAAAAACTATGCATTTTCAGACCTATGTTGATATAAACTATTTTTATTATATACTGTGACGTGGATGGCGCAACGAGAAGTAGGGGTCACGTTAACTCTGCGGTCTGTGAGTGACGTCACAAATCCCCACCCCTTCCATTACCACGCAATGCTCAGTAAACACCCCCTCCCCCCACGGTGATGTGGCAGAAGAGCAACCGTGTTGTTATCAAGGGATAACGCAGTTGCCACACAGCAGTAAACAACTCTTGACAGTGTTGCTAGGCAACCTGTAAACATGGCGTCAGGAAACAGCGGTACCTATTACATAACTGTTTTCTGTGTTGTCCATGCCGAGGCTAAATAAGGAGCAGCGAACACTATTCAGTTAGTTAGTAGTGAGTGATTAGCCAGTTACAATGTAGTGAGTATTGAGCCAGTTACTAAGGAGAGGGTAACCAGTTAATTGCAGTCTAGTATTTGTGATACTGCTGATGGCAGTAATTGTGAGAGCGAATGTGCAATAAATTCACTATATCAAATAAGGCATGAAGGTACTTGTCGCATGACATATACCCAACACGTGACAATATGTATGAGGAACTCATTCCTAAAGTTATGCCATGTATTTTTAAACACTCTGTATACTGAAAATTGTTCTGAGTGTATGCATAATTTTTCTTGATCATATTTCAAGAAACATGTACGTAGCTGATTCCAAAAGTAAGGTCTCCAAAGCGCTGGGTAATTTTTCGTGCGGCTGTTGGCAACCCTGTTGCATTCGTTGCTTCCCCCACTCCCCCCAATACCACCAAGCATGCGCGCACATAGCTAGGACGCTCAGTCTTGGCACGGTTGCCGTTAGAAATGGAGCTCCCGATTACTAAAACCGTGAAGTGTGAGATTCGCGCAGTTATTCGGTTTATGAACGCAAAAGGGACTAAACCAATTGAAATTCATTGTCAATTGGTGGAAGTGTATGGCGAGTCGTGCATGGACATAAAGAACGTCCGCAAGTGGTGTAGGGAGTTTGAATCTGGTCGTACTGCAATACACGACGAAAAAAGAACTGGGAGACCGTCAATTTCTGATGAGACAGTCGCAAAGATTGAACGAGTCATGCGTCAGGATAGGCGCATCACACTCGATGATCTCTGCATTTCGGTTCCCGAGGTTTCCCGAACCACCATTTATCGGGTTTTGACAGAGAAGTTGAATTATCGGAAGGTGTGCGCAAGATGGGTCCTGCGAATGCTCACGGAAGACCACAAACGGCAGAGAGTTGACTCTTCCCGTGAATTTCTTCGCCGCTATGCTGACGAAAAGGACAACTTCTTGAATTCAATTGTCACAGGCGACGAAACCTGGGCGTACCACTTCACACCTGAGACAAAACAACAATCACGTCAGTGGCGGCATTCCTCTTCGCCTAAGCCTCGAAAATTCAAGCAAACACAGTCTGCCGGTAAAGTCATGGCAACTGTGTTTTGGGATCGAAACGGGGTATTGTTGGTTGACTTTATGGAAACTGGGACCACAATAAACGCTGAGAGATATTGTGAGACACTGAGAAAACTCAGGCGGGCGATTCAGAACCGGAGAAGAGGGATGTTGAGCAAGGGCGTAAGCATTCTCCACGATAACGCTCGCCCCCATGCTGCCCGACAAACCGTCGCTCAACTGCAACAGTTTGGATGGAACATCATCACCCATCCACCCTATAGTCTGGACTTGGCGCCCAGTGACTACCATCTCTTTCCAAAGTTGAAAGAACATTTGTCTGGAAAGCGCTTCAACAATGACGATGAGGTGAAAGCTGAGGTTCAAAGTTTCCTGAACAGCATGGAGGTGAACTGGTATGACATGGGCATACAAAAACTGCCACTGCGCCTACAAAAATGCATTGACCGAAATGGCGATTATGTAGAGAAATGAGTACATGTTCAAGATTCAACTGATGTATCCAAAATTGAAAATAAATGTTTATTTTATATTTTCAAACATAGGAGACCTTACTTTTGGAATTACCCTCGTATATAAGTTTCCACTGTGATGCTGCTGATGACATTTTCAGTATCTGTTGTATGCTTCTGTATACCCTCACCCTCCTCATTTCCCTGACCACAACACACCTATGACTTCTCCCCCGTGCTTCAGTTGCTTCCATAAACCTAGACACTCTTCCCCTGTCTCCTACTGGTTCACCCCAATTTTGTGATAGGGCCAGTGGGAACTAACAGGCTGGTTTCTGGAGTTCTTTTTGCTTCTGTATAATCCCACATCTTCACAAGCCATATGCATTGCTTGCTGGTTTCTTCCTTTACTTCCTCTTCATTCCTGAAGATGGAGATGACTAGTGTTGGGGAAGCATACACAAGAAGAAGAGTTTTTGAACTTAGAATAAACTGTGGAAATGCTGGTTATTATTTTCTTTTTAACCAAGCATTGTTTATATTTGTTAGTGTTTTTTCTGCTGTTCCAGATGTGTAATTTTTAAACATTCTCAGATCATCTGTTGCTTGTAATTTATGTTACATTGTTGCTGATTTTGGTGTTGTGTTCATAATATTTATATTGACTGATGTATAATTTGGTGACTGGCTAATGTAGCAATTGATTTGATTATGGTTAGCCAGAATATTCAATTTAAGATGCTTAAAAAACTCTTAATAAAAGCATTTGGACTTAAAAGAGAGATCAGTTAGGGGGACCTACATAATGAGGAGTGTCTTCTAATATTGTTAGGGTGGTTACATCAAGGATAAGATGGATAGCATGCATACCTTGCAAGGTTCAAAAACCTTGGGAGAATATATAGTGTATGTTATTATTATAAAAGGGTTCTAAAAGTTTGGACTAGATTCACACGGGTGTGAATCTTGTGAATTTTCAGGCTCCATAAAAGCAGACATTTTCTTGACCAGCTGTGCATAAACTTCTCAAGAAGATTTAGTGCCATGGAGTGAGTTAACTCATTTGTTAGTTCTAGTATGTACTATAGGAGCAGAATCCCTGTGATGTTCTTTCTTACAGTTTAATTCATTTATAGGGCCAGATCACATGAATATCCTGTTAGCACCATCTGTGAAACTTATAAATTGGAGCTTTGATGCAGAAGTGACTGAAAGTGGTTATGAGTGGCAAAACAAACCCGTTTATTTAATTAATTATGTTCAAGGCTTACCAGGGACTCCTTTTGAATTCTGGATTGACTTGGAGGTAAGTAGAAGAGGTGAATGTGTGAGAAAATGTAATGTAAAAACAGAAGCCCATAATGGATTCAGGAAAAGCAGGTCACTGGGAGTGATAAACACTCTCTTCTTGAAAGCATTCAGAAATGCGTTAAAAAAAGAAAAAGGAAGAAAATGACCAGACTGGTATTCTTTGTGATTTAACTAAAGCATATGATCTTATAAATCATGATATTCTAATCGCCAGATGAAATTCATATGGAGTTAGAGGCACTGCAGGCTTGTGGTTCGACTCATATTTAACATATCAGAAGCAGGCTCTTGAAATAAACTGAAATGGCAATAAAAACAAATCAAGAAAAACACATTTCAGCATTATAAAAAATTAAACATGGTGTACCACAAGGTTCTTTCTTAGCACTGATATTTTTATTATACATAAATCCAACTGCCAAGCTCTCATGCTTTTGGACAAGCACATATGCTGGGATAAAAATTTTCAATAATCTCCCATCTGATTTCAAAAGTCTTATGAATAAGAAAGCACTAAAATGATACTTAAACACACACTCCTTCTACTTCGTTGATGAATACTTATTGTTCAGAAATTGATTCATCCATTTAAAGGTTGTGTAAATAGCATAAATTGACAGTATTGATGTATATATGTGGATGTATTTTTGAATGGTCTCATGTGTAACCACTGTGTTTTCTTGTGTGAAAACTTGAGTTATGCTCTGCATATGTTTTTGTATTTGTATGACATATTCCACATCCTACAGTCATTTTGACTAACTTTGGATACAGGGAATGCAATTCAATGCAACATATAAAAAAATTATCTCTTCTTGTAAGAGTACATAACTTTCCTGTAAGCATAACAGTGTCTTCATGTAAGCACTGATTAACACTTCAAGTCCTGCAGCATACTTTCTCCAAGATTCTGTTTGTATGTTTATTGCATAGTTTTCAGGTACATATTGAAATTTTGTGTGTTCTTATGCTTGAAATGCACGAAGTATTACCATTATGTAGAACAGCTGCAACATAAAGTGGATGATGTTACACTTACAGGTTTTTTTTTTGCCTTGGAAAAGGGGTTCTATGACTGATTATACTGTATAGGAAATAATACTAGAATTCAGGATATTAATTTTTTAAATTTAGTTTTAATGCAACAAGACACAAATGGCTCAGTGTCGAGATGAGTCACATAACCAGCAAAGATGTGGCAAATAAAAATGGCCAGGTATTGTTTCCTTTATATTCCAGTTTGTACACAATCTATATTTTCTTTTTAAACGTTTAAAAATAATTAATTTTAATCTTATTAGCAGTCCATGACATATTTAAAAGTTACTGCATCATTTTCCAGTAGACCTGTTTCCAATATTATTTAAAAACTACTAAAAATATTTTCTGTAATGTGATGTAAAGCTTGTGGTGATGATTCATAATGGACAGATTTTTCATATGCAAATAAGTTTCAGTTGTAAAAGTATGAATTAATGTTGTTTTTAAAAATTCTGTTGTTGAAGGCGGTATATGGAAGTTTTTATAAGCTTATTGGTTTGAACGACGCTTAGTTTATGGCAGTATGCAACAGTGCCCAGAACTCATCTTATTAAAAATATAAAATACCTGTTGGTTATTAAAAATAAGAACTAGGAGGCTGAAGGTGGCCGCCAGTGGCATAACATTCTTTCCAAATTTATTGAAAATTGGTCATTTGGTTCAAAAGTTGAAAGACACCTACACATATATATCACTGTCTTTCTGTTTTCTGAAAGGAAACACTGGGTTTGATGTTTCAAAATACAAATTGTTATTGCATTGGTTGATATTTATTGGCATTGTTTTCCTTGTAGGTTACCAAAGGTCCACCTGTTGTGCGTGTGGACATTGCAGCAATTGGTCATTACATTAACAGTCATGAATACATGTCAGAAGAATTTAAGAAATTCCTGAGGAAGTACCCTGACTGGGCACATGTAACTGCTTGGGCCACAGCTTTCAAGGCATGGAAGTTCTAGTTCATAATTTAGCATTTCATTAATGAAGGTATTCAAAGCAGTTTGAATTTTGTTAGTTTATAAGCACTGAAAGGGATGAAAGTAATACTGATCATAAATATTTGAATGGGCTATGTGTTGGTCATGTACAGTTAACAAATCATCTTTTTTTTTAGTTTTGTCATCATATGATGTAATTGGGTGTTATTAACTGTTATTTTAGCATAAAAGTATACATTTTATATGTATATTCATATCTAGCTTTTGTTTAATTTTTCTATATCTTAGGTACAAAGAACTCTTTATGTGCTCAGAGCAGCTTCTTGTGTATTTTAAATGAACCTGACCTTTGTACTGACCCATATTTTCCCCTTCTGTGGAGGTATTTTGTAAATGCCTGTTGCTAAGCTGGTCTGAGCACAGAGTAAAGTCATTTTAATGCAACTTATATATGAGCATGTTATTTTTTTGTTTCTACAGTCAAACAACCAGAAAATAAAGACAGACATACACACATGTACAATATACAAGCACACTTATGTACAGAATATTACACGTAACAGTCACAGCATGGTACTTAGCATTTACATACTTAATGATTGAAGAATTTAAATGTTCAATCTGCACACTCCAAAGGAATACAGCCACCAAGCCCAAGTCATGACATTTACTTGAGGGAGGAGAAGAGAAGAATTTTTCCCCCCTTGTTTTCAAGAGTGATCTATAAGACTATATTCCCTCCCCCATCTTTGAAATGAAAGAAGTATGAAAAAATATGTTTTATGTCAGAATTAAAAATAATTTTGTGATGACAGGGCTGGTATGTGTTAGCTGCAGAACTGATTTGTGAATGCAATGGGATGTAGTTCTTTTTTCTTCTCTCTCTCTAAATTATCATTTTAGGAATATCCCTATAATATACAAGAAGTATAACTATAATGGCAAACATGGAGTCATCAAATCTTTATGCCACTGTTCTCTTTGGTGTGCAGATTTTTGAACAAGAAATATTGTGTTATATATACTATGGAAAATATTAATAGTTTAATACTTGCAGGGATATTGAAGTATGTGGTAAAAACAATGAAGCAATATATGTGTGGATAGAACATCGTTGTGGGTACAATACAGGGTATAAGAAAGAGAGCAAACTCACATTAACTCTCTGATTTAGTCACCTGTTGATCAGAAGATAGATTTAACTATCAGGACAAAACATAAACTTGGTGGGAGAACTGAGGTTTGGTAATAACATATTCTGTCAATACTGCACATTCTAGCTTCACTTGAATATACAGATGTGTCTGCATGAAATTCAAGCTTTGTTGAGCAAAGGCTGCTTCATTTGTACACTGTTCCGACAGTCCCTGTGTTGCAGTCCTAGCAATCATGTAACTGGTTCTATGGTGTGTAACAGAGTGTATTTAGAAATGAAATATAAATGTGAATTTTTGTCACAAAATGTAACTTCCTGTTTAGAATGACAAGTTTTGATCCCCTGCTTTCACACTTCACTCATTCTTAAAATTCTGAACACGAGAGCATTCATCTTCAGGCATGTGCTGTAACTTTGTTACTGCGGGAATGGCATCTGTAAGTACTGGCTTTATTATATTAAGTATGAGAACAGTCAGCTGGGTGACCTCCCTAGGTTGCCTGATCTTTCTTACCATTCACTCTTTGGTTCAGAATTTGTTTCAGCTGCATCATAGAGAAATCTACTTATTGTAGTCCACATAAACTCTGACTACTTCTCCTGAATACTTCCTCTGTGAGGGCATGAAGTAGAAATCAGGTTGTAGTTCACTGTGTGGACGAGGTGGCCCACGATGTCGATCTTGTGTATAGTAGCCATTGTGAGGGGGGCCAGCTCCTCCGGCTTGATGCACTGTCCTAGGAAGGGAGTATGTGGTCCGCTCTATGGGACCAGGCACCTGGTAACCTCCACCACCACCGCCTCGTGGACGCTGCAAGGACCTTGTTTTTGCATAATGTCCTCCATTGTTTTGGTAGCCACCACTGTTATGTGCTACTGCTGCAAGTGGTTTGTGTGCTCCCATTGCCCGAGAGGAGCCATTGTTAGGTAAAGTTCCGGATGGTCCTGTAGGCTTCTCTTCCGATTCAAATGCTTCAAATGCATAATTGGTGTTGGCTGCAGAGTAGTCTTTCCAGGCTGAATTTGGAATTAGATGATCATAGTAAAAAAAAATATACTTTAATTTATATTAGAAATTTATTCAAAGGAAACTCCAGTGAAGTATATTTCAGATGTGCAACTTTCCTGTACGAAGCACAGGATTAAATTCTGTTATTCATTTTAATTAATTACCGTACTCTTTGACTTATCTATTCAAAATACTTTGATATATTTAATTCAGAGATTTCAGTACCTAACTGTACTGGTTCCCTTGCAAAATAATATCTGCTGATCATAGAGGAGATTTCTATGTACTCTTTGAAAAAAAAAAAAGGATCCATATGCACAGAAATGTGGACTATGAGACAGTGAAACAGCTAAACTGTACAAAATAAGCCAGGATTGGGAACTACTGGATATTTTGCATTTTTGTGTTCATCATTCCTGCAAGGTGTGAAGTCATTTAAGATCAAAATTGTGATACTGCTTAGTGATATGTCATCCTCTATATAAAAGACTAATCATGCTATTTTGTAAGTGTGTATGAATTTGTGAATAGAACCAGAGGATGGCAGCAAATGCATCCAGTTTTTTGTTGTATATTGTGACATGATGGCTGTAAGTCAGAATGGCGGAACAAATACATGCAGCCATTGCTAGGCAACAGCATGGTAAACACATCTCTGCAGCAATAGGGCCTGATATGACAAAAAAGGATGCGGTGTTTTCTACGCAGCCAGCATTAAGGTTACATAACAAGCAGCAACTGGACAAGCCACCAATCCAAATTATCACTTTTAGTGGACTGACCGCTTCCCAGGAAGAAAAGGCATTCCCCATAACCATGTAGGCCTATGCTATATGTGTGATACATACACTTGACAAAGGCGAGGCCTCTTCATAAGAGACAAACCCATCTTCATGTCAGAGAAGACGTTACATAAGGACTATGACTGCAAGGGTTCTATTGTGAAAAAGAAACAACCTCTGGCTGTGAGCCTTAGGGGACTTGGTGTTAAGACAAACTGATTGGTGGTGAACTGCAAGTCAGAAAGCAACTCTGACTCTGAAGCCATTAGTGAGAGTCTGAAGGCTCCCACAGCTGTGAGACAGTAAAATATGGTCATGAGTCCTGTGGGAATCAAGAATCACTGTGCTATTGAGGGCCAGCAGCAATTAGCAGTCAGTCAGCTGGAAGTCATAGTTGGTGGTTAGCAGTCGCTACCTAGCAACAACTACTGGCAACCTCATAACAAAGAGAAGACTTTACGTATGTTGTAGTTGTAGCGATCTACAGAGTGCATAAAGCAATGAGACTGTTACAATTATTTGTAGTTCCAAGATATAAGGATTCAATAAATTGAATTATCAATCCAAACCCGTGGCTAGTCACTAACACATGACAGAATATTAGTGTGAGTTGGCAGCAGTTACAAATATGAACAGAAAGTGGCAGCAATAATTGCACTGGAAGGTAGGTTTGAGTTGCTATTGCAATATTGCAGTCTGCATCATAAATTATGTATGTTTGGCATTAAAGTCAATTGCAAATATCCTGGTTAGCTGGTGTAGCTCAGTCTGTAGCCTGGAAAACTGGAGAAATGGGATTCAGTTCCCAGGTGGGTCAGAGAACTTTATCTGCACCACCATGTGCTGACCAGCTGTGGGACTCTCCTATCCAGTTGATACTGGAAGTAAAGCAGACCATTTAAATCCTTCTAGTGTCAAGGTTAGGAATGTGTGGGACTGACCTCCACTCCCTCATACATCTTCACAGCATGACAATAAGTAATTAAGCAGAAGGACAAATTTACCTGTACAGACTGCTTTTAGACAAAGTTTTATTTTATCTTCTCAGTAGATTTGATGCTAATAATTTCTTCTTGAAATTTCAACAGGCTTGTTTATAGTTATTCTCTAAAACTCCCAAGCCCATTTAATGTTTACTGTATGATTTGTATTCTGTTAAAATGAATCAGTCTATTATGTTCACATAATAATGTGGGACAGCATGAATTAAACTTTGTACCCAAACTAGGCATGTATTCATAGATTTGATAATGATTTAGATGCTGAAATTTTCCAAAATCTTTATTTGCATTATCTAGTACCTACGACAGACACTTATTTTGGAAAGAATTACCAGCATAATATACGTATTTATTTTCAAGAGCAAATTTAAAAAGTTCAGCATCCAATGGGATGTTGAGAAAGGTAAGCAGTTATATAAAAATGCATCCAAAGACCTGAAATAGCAAAATAGTTCCTTGTAATAATGAGGAAATAATTAATCATAATGGTAAAAATGATATTTTGGTAAGAGATGCACTTTAGTTCTGAAAATCTTGAGTGTTTTTGTAGTTTCAGTTTTATTAATTCTTTCCCTGCTACATGTATCATGCTTAAACATTCTGGCCTTTGTAGACTCGAATACAACATATGAAGAGATCACTGAAAGAAATATCTTGAATCGCTGCTCAATATTTACAGCTAACTCTTCATGCTTTTATAACAATAGAAATGTTGGTTTCTTTACATAAACACCTCCATGGAAGGATTAAGTATGTTACAGTTTGTGGAACATGCCAAAGAGAAATGTGAACCATAAGGGTACAGAAAACAGTTCCTGAAGATTTTCATGTGTTTCCTTCCACGTTTTTACAGTTATTGAAGAGTTAGGTTAGGAAACAACTTGACCTCACTCACCCGGTAATTACCAGTTTCTCCGAGCTGTGACAAAACCGGGCTGTTCCGGGCGAGCGGAAGTCCAGTTATCGGTGTAAAGGTAAGGTGCAGGGAAGTCACTGGGGTGGAAATGGCCTGGGGTCCCAAGTGGTATCGCATACACCCGCTACGCACAGCATGCCAGTCAACAGAGCAGTGCCAAAAACGAGAATGTGATGATATGAGATTAGTGTCAGTCTGTGTGTATTAATTTTGTAGCTCCCAAGCCTCAATTAATGTATCACTCTGAATCATATTTTACAGTAATTTAATCCTTTGGTGCATCATATAAAGTTGCTGTATCCTGGTGCAATCAGAGCAGTCAAATGAAATACCCTTTATGAACTATGTTTTAGTATATTATGTGTGTCAGGGAATATTGTGTTCTAATGCACCAGGCGTAGCAGAGAGTGGAAACATCTCTGCAGTTTATAGTGTTGAATATGGAGTGTATATTTTCTGATGTTGGTGGAAGAAGCAACTTCAGAAGCATCTGAAAGTGTGTTCTGTCAATTTCTTTGTGTAAAAAATTACTACAGCAAATTCCATTGAACAGAAGAATGTATTTGTTAAAATAGAGTTTCATTAAATTGAAAATTAATGACACTGTTGCAAATTTTACAGGTATGTACTCGTATGTATATATACAGTGAAAACTGCAATAACTACAGGGTGAATCGTATAGAACCGGCCCGATGAATTTGTTAATAATTCCGCAGGTGCTGCTTATAACTGCTCACAATTACGACATAATAATCCGTGGGCCGTGCTGAGTCAAATGGTGTGTGCATGATCCGGCAAGTAACAGCCCTTATGCTGCAAGGTCAAGGACAATCCCGAAACGTGTCTGCAGTGCGCAGGCGACAGTCATGGAGTACACTGTTGAACAGCGGGTGTTTCTCGTGCGCACGTACTGGGTGACAGGCTCAATTGCGAACACACAATTGGAATGCAGGAGGAAGTCTGGAGTTCGCAAGAAGCCAGCGAAATCGACTATACCATCTTTGGCTCAGAAATTGGAAAGGACAGGGACACTTTTAAGTGAACGTGGTAAAAACCGCCGAGAAATGCCAGAAGAAACTATTGCAATTGTGCGGGACAGGTTACTGCAGTCTCCCAAGAAATCATTACGATGACTAAGCCAGGGAACCAGGTATTCTTATTCAACGTGTCAACAGGCTGCAAAGAAAGCGAATCTTCGTCCCTACAAGATCACCAGTGTTCAGGAATTGGGTGATGTTGATAAATGGGTATGGTACTGTTTATGGTTTCGGGAATTCATGCACAATAACCCCAGAACTTTGGATATCACTTGGTTTAGTGATGAAGCATGGTTCCACCTATCAGGATATGTAAACGCACAAAATTTCAGGATCTGGGCATCTGAAAACCCACATGAGATTGCTGAATCACCACTACACCTACAAAAAGTGGGTGTGTGGTGTGCCATTTCTGGTTTATGAATCATTGGACCGATCTTCGACATGACCGTGGACAGCACCTTATACTGCCGTATTTTTTACCATTTCGTGCAGCAGCTGCATGATGTGGAACTTACACAGGGTTATTTTCAGCAGGATTCAGTGACGTGTCAAATGTCCAACAGGTCCATGGAACTGATTGAGAGCTTCTTCCCCGATCGCATCATCTCTAAAAAGATGTGGCACCCAAAACCCCCCAACCTTACCAGCCCGGATATTTTTCTCTGGGGTTTACTGAAGGACAGGGTGTATGCAATCAAACTGCGTACTTTACAGGATTTAAAGGACAACATTTCGGCTGAAATCAGGAACATCACTGAAGAAACACTGCGGTGAGTCACGGCAAATATGCGAACGCGGGTGGAGGTGTGCCTACTTGAAAACGGCGGACACTTTCAACACCTGCTCTGATCACGGCACACAATCCAAGATAAGATATGTGTAAATTACTTTAATATCTGTATGGTATATTTTATATTACAGCTCATTTCGTCGAGCCGGTTCTATATGAATCACTCTGTACAAGAAACTACAGAGGTTTATCCTCTCTGCTACAAGGGCTCATACTGAAGGAAACCTTCACTGCAGGTTTCAGCCTGCTATATTGGGGACCTAAGAAATCCTAACTGAAAATAACTGGCACTCTGCTGACTGCTTCCAGTGGTGAAGTATCCTGTTCCAGCTGGCAGAACCCTTCAAGCTTTATTTAAGGATACCACCTCCACATGAACAGACCTGGGTAGTGGATGTGCTTGTGTCTGATTTGAGCATATCATCTTATTCTGGTAAAGAACTTGTGTTTTATGAATTAAAGGTATGCCTCAAGTGAATCCTGGCTCCAACCTTATCATATTTCTTTTTAACAGGCTGACTTGAAAGTTACCTACTTAGGAAATTATGTTTGAAATAAATCATGTACAAAACTGAATATATTAGTATTACAGATTTACTTTACCTAAGTACAAAATGAAATTAACAGAAACACTAATGGGCACTAATGAACCACGTATTTGTGTGCTTTACTAGGGCCCTGTGTTACCAAACTTTTGTTTCAGTACCAAAAGGGGTTTCAAACATTTTCTGAATGAATAGCTCAGTTAATGCTTATCTGATAATAAAATAAAAATGCAAACATGGCTCTCATCTGATTTTGAGTCCTTATGACTACTACTTTAAACTAGCTGCCTTGACATAGCACAGACATTTTACTGTGATGTGCAGCTGGTCAAGAGTCCTGGAGTTAGAACTGATAATCTTACACATATTATGTCAATCTTGCAAAATAGCATTTCTCAAGGTTTTTGTTCAGATTTGCTGCTCGATGTGTGTAGTTAATTAAAACATTCAGCCAAACCAAAATTAAAATGAAATAAAATAGGGTTCACTACATATGTTTTGGTCTCTCTAGGACTGAGCCATCTTAAAATCACAACCTGATTTATACTAACACTAGAACTTTGGATCGGGTACCACCAGTAATTGTGTATCTAACACTGTTCATTATTAAATTCAGTATCACAATCACATACAAAAGTCAAAACAAACTTATGGAATTAGAATATTAAGTACAAAACCTAGATATGTGTACACACAAATAAACTTATCACAAGCAACTAATGTTGTAGAAATATGTCATTTAAAGTCAAGTGCTCGCCAAGAATAACTTATTGGGTGTTACTTGCACTAAATTAATGCGTAAGGAGATTACATCCATCTTGTCTGTCTGTATGTTTTATCTTTTAAACTGCTGCCAACAGATTTAATGAAAAATATTTGGTATTAGTGTCAGAAAAATTTAACTGTGGTTCATTTTCAGCCAGTATACTGCCCCCACTTCTTGAAGCTCTAATCACACTATATCAATTTTTTTAACTGATCATAATAAAGTGGGACATGACATGAATTATAGCTCTCATTAACCCTTAGCTCACTCCATTAAACGCTAATGTATGGTGCTAACAGCCAAGAACAATTCCAAGAGTGTTCCATTGCAATACAGTTGATCTGATGGAAGAATAACATTCAACAGTAAAAGTTCTTTGCTCAGAATTAAGATCTATCTTGCTTCATCAAAACATGACACTGCATTGCGTTATGAAACACTAAACAGAGGGTGGCCCTCTGCTTGTTTGATTGTCAATGTCGACGAGTTCCTGTACCAGTATGTTCTAAGTTGGATATCTGCCCAATGATTAATTCCATCTCCCACATGGACTATACTGGGACTTCGAATTCTATTGCATTATGATAATTTTAGTCTAACAAGGGCTTTATAAATTTTAATTCTTGCATAACTTGAGACTAGCGATGGTTTGAAAATCCGTTTTATAATACTCCAGATTATTGTTTGTTACATGAGAATAACTGCTTTGTTGAAGAATGCTGTCTTCTGGGATGTTGCGCTATGTAGATCTTATGTGAACTGACGTTTCAGAGGAATGTATCACTGCAGCTACCTGCTCCTTGCTCGCAGATTTTTCTACCCTGAAGATGGAGCTGAGACGTTCCTCCAAAACGTCAGTTCACACAAGATCTACATAGCGCAACATCCCAGAAGACAGCATTCTTTATAGTCAATGTTGTGAAAACCTCAAATCTTATAACTACTGTGTTGTTTCTTGTATTGTACAGTTATATGGACAATGTCCATTATGTGAGACACATTTGATGTACATAACATTTTGGGGTTGGCTGTACTCCTATCATCAAATTGTTGAATATCAATATTCTGACAAGTGTTTTATTTCTATTTTCAATGCTGGTGGCAAAGGTTGGGACTGAGCATGCAGTCCTTTGAGTATTAAATGTAGCCAAGAAATCCCTGTGCTTAATTATATTCTCTGATATGAGGTTTCCTGAGATCTTAACACAAAGACATCACACTCAGTAATATCATATGTTATTCAAAACTGGAACCTTCACATTAAGGAGTTCCATATTAAGTCACATGTGAGGAACAGTTAAAACTGTCAACAGGTTACCAGAATTCACTTTTTCAGACACTGTGGCATGGGTGACTTTAATTACAAGAGGATGGCTTGTTTGATGCTGGGACAAAGACCATCCAAGTAATCACTTCCAGTCAATGGACTTCATGAAAACACTCGCAGCAACAGGAAATACAGTATTGGAATATGTGCAGAAGAGCTAAAAATAAAGATGAAAAGACAATGCAGTAAGCATGCCACTTACCTTGTGGTAGGAAGAAGGATTTCGTACTGTCTTGTAAATGGTACACCCTGCCTGAATAACAGCAATCAAAACTAGAGCTGCAATGCAACCAATCACAATGTATAGTTTTGTTGCCGACAGCAGCAGTCCCCCTTTCTGAGAGTCCCCTTCCACAGGAATAGCAGATGTCACTATGAAACATGGAGCAGACCACTTAGTTATCAAACAATCTGTGTGCCATAAAACTCATTACAACATAATTTTAGACTTGTAAATGTACTCACATCCTTGTGCCTCGAACACAAGATACCCTGGATCAACAGCAAGGTTTCCAACTCTGCCTGTTGCAACGGTCTCCTGCAGCGCTTTCTCCACTGGGCTCAGATCCTCTTTGAGAGACCTCCCTTTCTCATACTGTGCTTTATCCATGATCACATTCATTTTGGCAAGCACTTTGTCATCACTCCTGTTCATAAAATTAAAAATTTGCTTCAGAGGAAAAATAATACAGAAAAACTGTGCTAAACATAAAAATGATTATGATTATTACTGAAGATAAGGTAAAAGGTAAAGTTGAACCTGTGCTTAACTAATTAAGCACTACATCATGAAGGTGTATGGGGGAGTGGATGTATAGATCCACATTTTCTTGACCTCGGCACTAGTTGGAGGTGAGTGGTCAGCTTCATGCCCCTGCCGCTTTACCCCCAGTACCCACTGGATAGGAGGTTGGTTGGACCCCAGAGCCAGTCTGGACGACTTGGAGGAGAGAAAATTCTTGCCCTCACCAGGACTCGAACTTCAACCCCTTGGTCATCCAGCCCATAAACCAGTCACTATACTGACTGTGCTATCCCGGCTCCTAGACTGAAGATAAGAGAAACACAAAACTAACCATGAATTAAGTCAGTTATATTCTGTTATCATCTTAATGAAAAAATAAACCTGAAAACCCAATTATAAATATGAAATAATCTTATAGGTGGGTACAGATGTTCTGGAGGAGCGTGATACCTCCATCTTGGGATTGAAGGAATCGGCTAGGCTATACAGGCAGATGATAGTCAGCTGAAACCCACAGGAAAGGATGAGGAAATGGAGCTGTGTGTGGGTAAACAGGAATTACAGGCAGGGAAAATGACTCTTGTAAGGACTACAGTATTCTTTCAGTCACAGCAATATTGCAGTCCTGGGAGCCAGTTTTTCTGCCTATTGTTATCACTGGCCTGGACTGAGTTCCATTTCCTCATTCCCATGTGTTACAGTGACAACCTGCATATATAATGCAGGAGGCATATGCACAGTTTACTCGAATCCAGCCCACCAAAATCAACAGTAGGCTGAAAATATTAATAGAGGAATATGTTTGTTATAAGCTGATTTCAGAAAGCCATTCCTTATTAGAAATGAGATTTCTTGCTCACCTGTGACCTTCTACATTACTTATGACCATGCAGTGCTCAAACTTTGTTGCTGCAGTAATTCAAAATTGTATAATTTCAAAGCATTCAGTAACTGTTTAAAACTTTTTTAGAGAGAGAGTGAGAAATTTAAGGAAACAAGCATGAATTGAATGTTTAAATTTCAAATGTCTAAACGATAATCTTATTCATTTATTAAGACTGACTCTCACACCTAATCTGATATCTTAACACAGAGTAAACAGTCTGGAAGAAAGAATGATTTATTCCTCTGTGAATAATGTGATGTCAAAGTGTTACAGTTTCTGTGACCTTTTGCCTTTAGAGAATAAATGTACATCATTTATCCCACTCCTTTGTAGTGTCTGATTGAATTATGGGGAAATAAACCTCTAGATCCTTAAAGTCTGAGATCTTTGATGCTCTGCCAGCTGGTGATTCACATCACTCTGAAAGCATAAACCATTTTTTTAAATTAAATGGATCACTGAAGATGACTCACTCTTGAAATTGATTTACATGAAGCTTATGGAACCCAGGAAGCCTTCCCAAAGCACCACTGAAGCCATTGCTGACTGTATTGGCAAGAATATCAAATTCTGGAGAACCAGGTTTTGGTATCTGGAAATTCTCGCCCAGGTTCACCAATTTGACTTCCACATTGTAGGAGAGCCGTGGAGGAGCAGCAGTTGATGTCATCAGTACCGAGTTTATATCTGTACAAAACATATAAATACTTTAGTTGATGTTATAACACATTTTATCGTCTCTCCTCAGGAGAGGATCTCCTCTGGCGCACTGTGAGCCAGTAACACTCGTGGCTTTGCCCGAGGTGGGACGGCCACTAGCACCAGGTCTAACACCGAAATTAGCGGACGTGACCACAGCGGCCAAGCCACACCTAAACACCAGAGAATTTCAAGAGTTAGAGGATCTCGTGTCCAAGTACTCCGATATCTTCGCACAAGACAACGAAGATTATGGAAGGACAAACAGAGTATATCACCGCATAGACACGGGAGAAGCCCGGCCAATTCGACAGCCACCGAGGAGAGTGCCCCTGGCAAAACAAGCAGAAGTGAAGGAAATGCTCAAAAACATGAGAGGACAGGGTGTTATAGAAGAATCGGACAGCCCTTGGTCGTCCCCGGTCGTTTTGGTCAGGAAAAAGAATGGGGAACCCCGTTTCTGTGTGGACTACAGAAAGCTGAACGACGTCACCAAGAAGGATTGCTTTCCACTACCCCGCATTGACGATACCCTGGA